TAAATTGGAGTATGATTTAAGTCTCAATTTTCTTTTTGCAAATTAAGATATTAGCCACACATGTCAAGAGAAGCTTGAAGATCTCATTCATTCATTCAGTGAACATTGTGAGGAAGAAGTGGATGAAGGTAGTGATGAAAGCTGTGGACATGAAGTGCTGTTTGGAGAAAATGAGGAACATTGTGAGGAAGAAAAGCACAAACATTCTGACCATGAGTTTGTACTTAGTCCATTGGCGAATCCAAAGAAGATAGAAGTTGCTGGAGTAATTCATCAAGATATATTGGAACCGGATTGTGGATTAAGGAGACGTAACAGAAATGAATGAAAAACAGAAATTATGATGACTTGTTGCACAAACCTAGATGCACTTTTAACTTATTTTGTACTGAATTCACAATTACTGCACTATGCTTTAAAAAGATTGTTATGAAGCATTTATATTATCTTCAAAATAATTTATATATGTATTTAATTGGACTTCTCTGTGTTATTTCTCCATGTTACAATTACCAAAACTGAGGAATGGCTATAGAGTATGTTGGAAACATTTTAATTTGTTTTATGATAAACATCTGCAGGCAGGTGTCTGAACATTAGATGATCCAGCGGTCATAACTTTAAGCAAATACTGAATGGCAGTCTGCACCTACACTGGTTGATTGCTTTGGGTACTGAATGACAATGTGTGTGTCCCCCTGTCCATCTCCCCACCACCACCACCAATTCAACAGGTATTTTGTTTGTTTGGAACAGTTGAATGATCTCGGAAACCTTTACATGATAGACTTATGTTTTTTTTGAGAATCACATTTTTCATCAATTTTTTTCAAAATTTGATTCAAAAGCATTGGAAAGTGCTGAATGAAGTACGACAGGGTGAAATGTGATGCATATAAACCAGTACCTACCTATGATGCATATTATGTGTGAGAATAAAGTAAGCTAGTTATTTATCTTTGAGGGCTTCATATAGACTGTTATTTAACTGAGTTTTGAACCTTTGATTTTTTTTCTTTAATGTGTGTAGAATGTGGTAGGTACAAACATTTCTTACTCCCTTCGGTTTAGGCATTGTTTATGAAGATCTGAAACCAGAGACATCTTTCATCTTTCATAGGATTCTAACGTAATTTGTTTCGATCAGCAACAAAAAAATATCAAAAGTTAACAATAAGTTTGTCACCTTCTCAACAAGCCTGTATTAGAAATTTGAAGAGTAGATATTAGCAGATGGTACTATGTATATTAGGAATAGTATCTTCTGCTGCCTTCTTAAGATCAAGCTGCTTTTTCTGATCAGTTGGCAACCCTAGGTCAGAAGAAAGACTATTTTATTTTACTGGACGTTTATCCAGTAAAATTGTTATGGGTTCATAACAATGCAATAAAAATAATAAAACCATAATTTCAATAAAATTCAATTAAAAACACAGCACAGTGCAAACACTTTTTGGCACCTTGACTAAAAGGGTCAAACATTAGCTGCAAGGGAACTTGTTTCTAAAGTGCTCCAGGATCCTGGTTCAGATTGGGAACAAAGTATGTGGGGGGGGGAGGGGATTTCTTCAGCCCCCCCCTCCCCGTGCTGTTTTCAAAATGGTGTTGGTATTTTTGCTGGAGGTGAGGTCTTGGCATGTTACCACTGATCTGCTGATGATATTTTGCGTTAACCAGTATTAAGTAAGGGTTGTTATTGGTGCTGTCATTGTACTCTGTAAAACACAGGGTTACCAACAATCTGGAGGGGGAAAACGTCCTATCCCTTTAAGCCATCGTTGAAGTCACACCCCAACATCCTCTCCATTCCCATCCCCCCAGTACACTGTGGAACTCTAGGGGATGAAACGGGAACTCTGACGACTTGAGTGAGTTTGCCAGCATACTCGCAACAAAGCTGCAAGAGCATCTTCTATGACACTTCTGAACTCCTATGAGGTGGCAGTGAAGACTGTGAAGAGGGACTTCTACTCAGCTTCCATTGCATCTGCTAGCTCACTCCCAGCACAATTATTTAGGGTAATAATTAGTTCTTGTTGATAGAATTCTGGGTGCTGTTAGGCCAACCACATGCCCCTTGGATCCGTGTCCTCCTTGGCTGGTGAATGCTGGTGACGAGAGGATACGTTGCCCTCTGATGGACAATCTGTCTCTGGAGTCAAGGGTCTATCTGGAGGGTCTGAAAGGCTGTGGTGGTGCTGCTCCTGAAAAAACCCATCTTTGGATCCTCCTGATCCTGCCAATTACCGCCCACTTTTGAATTTATCGTTTCTGGGTAAGGTAATTAAGAGAACGGTAGCCGACCGTGTTTCCTAAATGCAGGGGTGGGAAATGGTCAGTAAAATCACTAAAATTCAGTTTTTTCATCTTGGTCAGTAATTTGTCAGTTTTTTAAAAAATTGGTCAGTAAAGTCAGTATTTCTTTGATTTTTGTGAATGCAGTTTGTGTTTTTCCATTTTCATTACTGCATTTTTAGGGAAACATGATGACTTCCCAGTGAGAAGACAGATTGTTTTCAGTTTAGTTATGAAGTACTTTAAGTACTTTGTTCCTAAGAGTAAAAGTGAAATCTTCCACAAAGTATAGAAACATAATTAACCTCTTAAAACATGAGACAATGAAAGTAGGAGGTGATGGATATTGTAGGATTCAACATGGCACAGCTCATGCTAGAGGGAGTTGAGAAAGCAATGTTATTTGAAAACCAGTCTGAACATTTTGGGCAAAAATTTGGACCTTAGTATCAGTTATGAAATGCTGTGAGTTCTGAGAAATACACAAAAGTCATCTAAACATCAGTTGCAAAAAGAAAGTCTCCTTGTGTCTTCCAGGAAGTTGTCTGTTGGGCATAGCTGATATTTAGAAAAAAAACGTGAGTTGGTCTTCTGCTTTAATAATTTCAAATACTATTAGCAATGGTAAGCATTGGATATCATTTTTTTTTTGAACTGGCAAGGATACTTATGTATTTGGAGCAAGCCACTAGGAGCGTATTGGAGCATATAATATCACTGATACAACCCTGCCCACTGTGAACGGGAAATCCCCCTCCCCAGCAATGTTCCCTCTGAGCTCTGGAGTCTTCTGAGCAAAAATTCTCCTTTGTGAGCGACTGGCATGAAAGTTGTGAGCGAGGGATCTGGCTACTGCATCAATTAGTTTGCTCTGGAGCCATCCTTCCTGACCAAAGACAAAAATGTGAGCTGGAGGCTTAAAAACGGTGAGCTAGCTCACACTAACTCAGAGGGAACACTGATCCCCAGTTTGAACTAAATTTCTATCAATGGTACTGTGAAGTCTGAAAGAAGAATAAAATCTCAGTTGTCTGTGAAGACACAGTATTAGGATTTGGGCTTTAAAAAATATTAGTTAGGAAAGAGCTTAAAGTTGTTTTAATTACCATAAATAAAATACAAGAGTTGCTGTGGACTTGAAAAGTATGTGCTTCTAGACTTGAAAGTAAGTGTGAAGGGCTGAACTAGGGCTTTATGTATTGAAATGTTTCTAAACCTTCTTTCCCCCCTAATATAGGGATCTAAAGTGGGTAACAACAAGCATTAAAAGCAGATCAGACAAAGGCAGAAGCCAACGCCTGCAATATGAACTGGATAAAAAATACACTCAAGAGAGCTTGCACACTCTTCTTAAAAGTGCAGCTATACAGCCCTGCCAAAGTGCTTAGAAGGGAAAAAGCCTTCCTTTCAGTCTCAGAAAGGCTATTTAGAAGTGTAGAATTAAACCACTGTTGCAATATAAGTACATATATGGTTTTAAGCGTGAAATTAAAGTTGTATCCTGAATATGCACACCCAACTAGTATCCCAGTGCTTGTCTCCAAGCCATCACATTAAGTATATTTCACATTTTCCCTCTTTGAGAATGGATAAGGGGGATTCAAGTATGTCTTCAAACTCCATTTCAAGGGATGAATATGTTATGAATGTGTATACTATGAGGTGGCAGTGAAGAATGAAGAAGCGTTGGATTTATACCCCACCCTTATAATCTCCTTCCCTTCCTCTCCCTGCAACAGACACCCTGTGAGTTAGGTGGGGCTGAGAGTGCTGTCTTGAGAACTGCCCTTAAGATAACAGCTCTGAGAGAACTGTGACTGACCCACGGTCACTGAGTTGGCTGCATGTGGAGAAGTGGGGAATCAAACCTGGTTCTCCAGATTAAAGTCTGCCGCTCTTAACCACTACACCAAACTGGCTACCCAAGGGTGATGCTTCATTATGCCAAGGGTGATGCTTCATTATGCTGGGCAATAAAAATGTACTCTTTAAAAATGAGTAGGGGTATTTAACTGAGGCTTAAACAGAAAGTTTAATAAATGTGCATATTGACTTCTGTTCCAATGTTTTAATAATAAAAAGGAGCTATTACATTTTTACATATCCCTCTGAAAATTGGGTTGAGAGGTGTACTAGGCAAGTAGAATGCAAAATATTGTCTTAAACATGTATATTAGCTATAATTCTAAACGACTCCTTGGTCAAGACGACAAAGCATGTTGTTGCACTTAAAAGATTAATACATACATTGACATTGTATTGGTGGCATTCACCTACTCTGAGTGAACTTGTTACTTTTGCAGTCTCTCTTTGTAACATCTACTACTACCGCTCATCTTTATGCTGTGTGCTTAGCCTAATGAATATGCACTTCAATTATATATGTGTATGTGTGTGTGTCAGACAGTGTTCGAAGAAGGTATCGCATTGTATCAAGCTTCGACCCCCCCCCCCCCCCCCCCCCCGGAGAGAAATGCATGGTCTTTTCCTTGGTTGTTTTAAGTCCATCACTGAATCTTTCCACGGCATTACTCCTGTGCGCGGTTAAGTTGGGTGTTAGCGCTGCTAAGCGCTGTTCAATCAGTATGCCTACTGCTCGGCCTCGCCTTCCACCTGTTTCTTCCTCTGCGGCGCAAAACAGCGAGAGGGCAGGCCTGGGGAGCGCGCCTGAACTTCTGGCGCGCACACACGTGGAGCGGAGGGCTGGACTAGGAAGTGCAGAGAAGGCGGCCGGAGAGGAAGGAGGCTGAGGTGAGCAGGGGGTGGAGAAGGGGTGGCTCACGGAGGTGGGGTGCAGGTCGGTCCCTGAGGGCCTCGTTTAACTTCCAAAGCCAGCGGGCGGCGAAGGGGAAGAGTGTCACAGTCTTGTTTGCTGATAACCATGGCAACCGCGGAAGCGCGGCCGTAATGAAAACAAGGCGTAGGCCCGAGAGAGCTTTTGAACTTTTCACCACCTTCAAATGGAAGGGTTTCAAGGGGACCTCCCCCCCCCCCTTTTTACTCTGTCCGTTGAAGTTACGTGGCTGGGCCTTCTCCAGGCATCCTTATGATTATGTGTCGAGCTAGCCGAGGTGTACTTTAAGCCAGTTTTCGACGTTGTGACGTGAAATAATAACGAAAAGGGCAGTGTCCCTCCCTGAACTTGTACAGAGTGGATTTTCGTCTCAAAGGATGTTCTGTTTAAACAGATGTACAGAGAACAGATGTACCAGGGAAACAATGTGTATCATATGCTGTGTTAATTGTGCTGGATGTGCACGTGGGAAGCAAGGACTAGGCAGTAAGTTCGTAATATACAGCATACTGTGGGATCTTCACGCCTGGCAGTGGCGGAGTACACTTTTGTGTGGATAACACTGTATGAAGCAGCTGCTATACTGTTTGGAGCCTCGTAGAGTTGGCTAGAGTTAAAGTCCTTGTGATCCAGGTCTCCTCTACACATAACAGAATGAGATTGCAGAATTCTGAAGTGGCAGAATGGGTTGTACCTTTCAAGATTGTGGGGAAGGAGGGGGGTTTACTCTATTACCTTGGTAAAAGCTTCCTGCAAATAAAATGTAAACAAACAAAACAAAAAACCACATGGGGGGGAAGATTCTAGTTTGTTCCTTTGTGTGCCATGCTACTTTTATAGGGAGCTATTAGTGGAGGAAAACTTAATAAATCCTCATATGTAGTCTGAAATGGTACCGGTTCATTTTGCTACCTAATTATCAGCTGATTGTGCTGTAAGTTTAGACCAGTCCTAAGACCTCCAGTCCATCTGGTTGCACTATATTATAAGCAGCTGTACTGTCTCTCTGTTATATTATGTATCTTTACAGCCCACTCTGTTCCATTGGTTCTATTCAGGTTACAGTAATCACATCAGAAATAATACACTATGTCCTCATTAGACTAATAATATAGGGAATCTGAGAAACAATGATGAGCAAAACAATGTAACAAATGCTCATTAAAGTAATATAATATAAAATTAGAAATTTGAACACACGACGTTAAGATTTATAAAATGTCTTTCTGCTGCTTTCTTACAGTATGAGGAGTGCCTGCAATAGTTTTTAATATCATTAACATTATATTCAAGTAGTTAAATAGGTCGGCCAACCACTGGAATGCAAATTATCACTGTTGAAGAGACTGTAGTATTTCCCAGCAGGAGCATTAGAGTTAACAGATGTTGTTTGTATTTTGACTGCTGAGACAGCTGGTTCTGATAGGCAGCCTTGGAGGAAATTGACAATGTCCTCTTTTCTGGATCCTGATGTGAAATCCTGGATGCCATTGAAAATGTTCTTCATCGCTTCTGCTTAATGAAGACTTTGAAACAATAGCAGATGTACTTTTTTAACTAATAGAAGTCAACTCCATGAAGTATTTTGCTTATCTGATTTGTGTCTCTTGTACTTGTATAGGTGGTCTGGCACCAATGTTATAGCTTCTGTTTGTGGCAAGGATATATTTTGGTTCATGGCTATGTACAAAGCCAGAAGTTTCCACAAAAACTTGCTCTCTATATGTTGTCTTCCCTATCCCCTATGAAACATTGTTAGTCCCCTGTCTAAAGAGTAACTGTAAATCACTTTGAGCCCACTTGTGGGGAAAGCGATTAATAAATTGAAAGCATCATCATCATCATCGTCATTGTTGTTGTTGTTGTTATTATTATCAATGATAATAATGATAATAATGATAATAATAATAATAATCTCCACCTGTGTAGTAGTCCCATGGATGGTATTGTTTACTCTAGTCAGCCATCCCCACTGAGATAGCTGTAAAGAGGAGGCTCGTGACTGCAGATCCACTAAGAAGAAGGCATCCATGTATTTCTTCTAATCTGTCTTTTTCATCCCATCATCTTCCTCTGTCATGCTTGGAAATCACTGGGTTCTTGGAGACTAACCTTGTTCCACAGTAAGCTCTGTATGCATGACTGAGTGTTATCACATGTACAAAAAACAATCAATTCACGTAGAAACCTAGGGGTAGGTGGATGTATGAGAGAGAGATTCAAACATATCAGAACCCTTAAATGTATATAGGGATTTTCATGGAGGAGCGTTTAAACATGTACATCCTGCCACCTTCTGGAGGGATTGGGAGTATGCTTCCTTCTCATACATTCCTTTCCCCGCCACTTCAAACTGAACAACTATTCTGGTTCTTGAACACCCTTTAGTCGTTTTTATTCACCTTTTTACTTTTCTTCTGACATTGCTTATAGGGGTTTTATTATTTAACGGGTTTGGTCTCTGTACTATCTCTATGTGAATTAATTGATTTGTTGTATAAATAAGGAAAGGCTGAATAAAATCTTGCAGAAAAGTGTGTCGTAATATAATGGTTAAATCCACTGTGTGTGTTAAAAAGAAATTAGAAGGTACAGTATGCAAGACTGATCTTTGAAACATATCTTTTGGAGAAGAATGGAAAATGAAATTTAGTAAATTTGATAGATACTGTCATTTTAAACAATAGAGACTTGTGGTAACTTAACTGAGTGCTTTTGGACAGAATAATATTTAAAGAGAAAACCTTTTATTTAAATCCATCTTAAAACAAGTCACTGCCCTTTTCTTGTGTGTTTTTTTTGAAACCCCCGAAGGGGTATTTTTATTATTTTTCATAAGACTATTAACTACAATGAAAAATGAAGAAAGGGGGACTACATCTAAGGATAAAGGAAAGATACCCACACTAACTAAAAACCCAAGAGTAGGAGATCCTTTCCATGTTAATCTAAATGTTAGTAAGACAATTGTTAGTGATACAATATACTTGTGAAGTTCTTGTTTAACACATCTTCTATATTAGTAAGTTAATCTTTGTGAGAGTGCTTCTTGAGCATCTTCTTTACTTCAAAGAGCAATTAACAGAGTCCTTCTGCCCTTACTTCGGTTTTCTATCTCTAAAGTCATACACAGTTTTCGTTGCTCCAGCCCCCGCTTCCCCCACAGAGTCCTCGTCCGTTCCCAAAGTAGCAGAGTCACTTGACTTGGATTCTTCATCTTTAAGTTCTTCCGGCCCAAGCTGACATCTCAAAAATTCCTAAGCTTTAAAGATGGAGTCAATCTTCTCTCTTTTGTCGTTGACTTTAAAAATTACACCTTCAGGAATCGCCCACCTGTACTGAATTCCATTAGTTTGAAGAAATGAGATCAATTCCTTGTAGCCTTTCCTCTTTTGACGGATTTCAAATGGAATATCCTTTAAAGTCTTTATTATTGTATTCCCAATTTTCAGTGGATTTGCTGAAGTTGCCTTTAATACCACACCTCTGGTCTGTCTTCTTGCTAATCTCACCACAATCTCTCCAGGCAGGTTATTTTTTCTGATATAATTAAAGTATGCCCGATAGGCAGCCTCCATGTCTTTTACTATTTTATCCGCTGATATACCTGTTACTGGAGCGATGATCTCTTCCAGAGTCTTCTTTAAATCCTCTTTTTCAATTTCAGGCACCCCCTGAAATCTGAGAGTCATGTTAGCTTTTTCCATTTGAAGCTGTAACAACAGAGTTTCCTGAAGTTTTTGTGCTGTTTCCACATCCGTCACTCTTTTCTTCATCTTATTTGCGATATCCATCTCTGTAATTTTCACAGTTGCATGCTCCACTTTCTTCTCCATTTCTGCCAGCTGGCGCTGCTGCAGAGCAGTTTTGGTCTAGTTTGGCCAATTGCTGGTTAATACCACCGAGTTGCTCCATTACCGGCTTCAGCATATCCTGCTCCATTACCGGCTTCAGCATATCCGCTAGCAACTTCATGACGTCTGCTCCCTCTTCCGGTCTTAGTCTCTGACTGCCTGGTTTTGGTTTTAACTTTCCTCGGGAAGCCGCCATATTCCACTTTGTTTACACTTCCAAACCGCTATGCCAGGACTCGAAAGACTTGTCGTTTCACTATCGGTACTCAAGTAAGTCTCTCAGAAAAAACTCGCTGTTTATTTCCCCCCTTCCCCCTTCGCTACATTAGTCCATTCATGCGCTTAGGAGGTGTCCCTCCTTATGCACCGCTTGTCCCACGGGGGTTTACTCCGTTTTAGTAAAATAGTCCATTTATTTCGAACTCACGTTCATTGTTGGTCATATCTTGACCCCGCTCTCTTCATACGCTATTCCGCTTGATCTCCTGCGCTTGTCCCGGTTAGATTGGCTTGTACCCTAAGATCACCCATAGCTGGACCATCGGGGCAGAGGAAAGCCTCTATTCTCCGGTATCAAGCCGTCGAAGAGGCTAACCCTCAAAAGCCCCCTGGCCTGAAACCCTTCACAAAGGCTCCATGGGGGTGCCACTTGAGGTGGCACCCCCTCCAAGCAGAGGGTGTGCTAGTCGCCTCCTCGGACATAGAGGAGAGTGACCGCCATCGCCGATCCACCCACCGGAAGCCCCCGTCACTGCCCTTTTCCTTGTAGGATTTAATTAATGTGATGATACAACTATATCTTTTTTGCTTTTGTCTTATAGTTTGTTGTTGAGGTGATACCAGAATTCAGATGGACTTAGAGATTAAAGGAGTTGCTGCATCTCCAAGAAGACAACCCCCACTCTCTGCAAGGAAAAAGAAACCTGATCAAGTATATTTATTTGAAATATATATTTTTTTAATTTAGGAAAATTTAATATACTTTCATCATTCGAATATATGTGAAAACTTACATATGTTGGACAAATTGCAAAAAATTACACCATCTGCATATTGCTTTGGAGAGCTGAGAACTTGTGAATAGAAAATGACTCACAAGTATGTGAATATATACAGAAAAACGAAGTCATTTCCCATTGTTGGCAGAATGCTCTGCTGTTTCAATTAGTATATGCCTGATGGCTTGGGAACTTTTGCATTAAGCAAAGAATGGCTCACTGGTGCTTGTTTTCAATAGCTGGAAATTTCAGTAAAATGAAAGGTCTAGACTACTCATGATGATTTAATGTTGTAATGATCCCTTGATTTAGCTGCAAAAAGCAGCTGGCAGCAGTGGAAGTAGAAAAGAGCAAGAATCCAGTAGCACCTTTAAAGACTAACAAAATTTGTGGCAGGGAATGAGCTTTTGTGAGTCACTGCTGACTGGATCAGAGGTGTGGCACTGGTGTTTTTAAAATGTGCCTGTCATTTCCCTGACTGAAAATGACATTCGCCTGCCCTGACTACAGTTAGATCCAGTGGGAAAAATACAGGTTTCTGAATAATGTAGTTCCTGTCTTTTTCCCTTCTAGGACTAAAGTCAGTCTGGAGAGCATTTTCACTTAGAGAAATAACTGGGGTGAAGCTTCAGACTCTCTACCTTTCCCATATAGTATGGCCATAATCAATATTGTCCGTTTTGGCTACCCTTAACATCAGAATCACTCTTTAGGAGATTTGATCATAGGTTCCAAATGGTATTTATAACTTGGGTCCCAGATGCAAATCTTGTTCAGTCTTGCTTCACAACAGTATAATGTGCAGTTGTTCTACTGACTAGATTTTGAACAGAAAAAAGAGCATATGTTTCATATATTACTCATTATTAAGGAATACTTACTAGTAAGCAACAAATGAAACATATGCTTTAAAGCTCCTAATCTGAACCTCAGTTTTGAGGATCTCATCATTTCTCCATAAACTCCTGGATGTGCCCCAGATTGTAATAGCTGCTAATATTTTATAGTATGTCTTGTGCCAGCACTAGCAGAAACTACTATTGTTGTCTACGTTAGCCCAGGTAGTATCTCTGATGCAAGTCCCTTCCCCTTTTTCTTTTGTTTTATTTTCCCTAGAGAAAGTGAGTGCTTCATTATAGATGTTTTAAGTTTCCTGAAATGTTCATCTGCTTGGATGGAAATGTCCCAAGATTGTCATTTGAAACTGCAAGTTGAAGCATTATTAATAAATTTATTTGTGAGTTGTTGTGCCAGCTTGCTGTTTCAAACTTTTGCATGATCTTTGCATATTAAAATATTCATCTCTCTAAGCAAGGAAAAGTCCATTAATCTCTCAATGAGAACCCGGATTTAGGCTCATTTCGTCCCAGTTCTTCCTCAGGAGTAATCCTATTCTCTTCAAAGGTGTCAGCCTCTTGATATAACTCAGTAATATGTTGGGAGCAAGCCAGACCTTAACTTCTTTTCTACACAGATGCAAAAGCCTTCTGAATTAGGCTGGCACACTGCTCTCTATTAGTTGTGGTTTAATTAAGAGAGAGCCCGCAGCCAGCAGAGGTGGGGAAAGCCTGCTTTCCTTCTGGATAAAATGCTCCACAATCTTGCGGGCTCTCCTCAGCAGGTCTGCCCTGCAGACAGCTTTCGACAAATAGTGGTACCCTTGGAAAGCATGTCAGCCAGGAAGCAGTGTTGAGAGTCAGCCCTAGGGGAGGAGCTGGGCTGAGAGGCTGGGCTTTCCTTAGGGGTGCCCTGCAGAAGCAGCAGGCTGCCTGCTGGGGAATACATTCCAGGGCGAGGGAAGAGATCTGCAAATCCCTCTCCCTCCCCTCATGTTCGGTTGCAGCTTCAAACTTTGCCTGCATGAAACCGGGGGGCTCCTGCCCACACCAAGGGGGGTCTGGCATCCTCCTGGAGGGGGTTGGGCATATCTGTGGGGGCATAGCCCCCCTTGCCCATCTAGCTGCAGGCTGATCCCTGCCTCTTGTAAGGAGGGTAGTCCTTGCACAAGGTGGACAGTGGCTTTGATCGTTGAAGCACTGTGACTTGGGGCCCACCTAGAAATGTGGCTAATCAGCTGTAGATCGTGGTGGCCCCTTAAAGGGGCAGTCCCCTCTACTTTCCCCTTAGTCTTTGATGACTCCCAGTGAGGCCCAGGGATCGTTTTGCAGTAGATATTGGAGCAAATGGAGGGGTCAGTCAGAAGCACTGCAAAGTATAGCAGAGAATTTCTAATTTAAATAGGTCTGTATGTATAAGGTAAAGGTAAAAGTTTCCCTTGCTCAAAAGCCAGTCGAATCCGACTCGATGCAGTGCTCATCTCCATTTCCAAGCCGAAGAGCCAGTGCTGTCCAGAGACATTTCCGTGGTCATGTGGCTGGCATGACTAGACCCAAGGCACACAGAACGCTGTTATCTTTCCACCGAAGTGGTACCTATTTATCTACTTGCAATTCCTTGCTTTCGAACTGCTAGGTTGGCAGGAGCTGGGACCAGAGACGGGAGCTCACTCCACCATGCGGCACTCGGGTCTCGAACTGCTGAACTAAAGACCTTCCAGTCTGCAGTTCAGCATCTTAACCACTTGAGCCAGCGACACCATGCCCTGTGTCAACCTAGAGCTAGAAGTTACTTAGAGTGGTAGCACCGCTGAATGTGTTCTTAAATGCACTTTAGTATATCGCACCGCCATCGTTATATCAACTGTTTTAAATTGTTTATTATGGGTTTTATATTGAAATGTATATTGTTTTATTGGTTTTATGTAAGCCGCCCTGAGCCTGCTTCGGCGGGGAGGGCGGGGTAAAAGTTAAATAAATAAATAAATAAATAAATAAATTAACCACTTGAGCCACCACAGCCCCTTCTGTAGGTATAGCACCTTTCAAACATAACATAGATTCATAAGTAAAAGGAGTCATAGCTATTGCTGTGATCAGTACATGAAGTTCACATCTCACTTCCTTATGATTAATGCAAAAAGGCATGCTGTCTTCAAATGTTATAGCTGTCACTCTTGAAAATTTTTTACATCACCAAGTTCCAAACATATTCCAGTCTTTCAACCTATCTTGTTTTTTAAAAAGTACTTTACCAAATCACTAATTTAACAAAAACAGACATTCCTTACCTCCCTAAAATGCCTGTGGCTCTTCTACAAAACTCTTTGGGAGGGGCCATGTCTCAGTGATAAAGCATCTGCTTGGCATGCAGAAGGTCCCAAGTTCAATCCCTGGCATCTCTGGTTAAAGATGACGTGAAAGGCCTGAGACGCTGGAGAGCCTCTGCCAGTCTGAGTAGACAATACTGGCCTTGGCGAACCAAGGGCCTGATTCAGCATAAGGCAGCTTCATGTGTGCTCTCCCCCATCCTCACCCACATAGCCTTCCTTATTTCTGATTTGCACAGAGGTTTCCCTGTTACGACCCGCATCTTAAGATATTTTGTCCTTAACTGCTTTTTATTTAGAAGATTTCTGATCCTTATTTAAGAATTGGAATATGAGAGATATGGAGGAGATGAAACATGATCATCTCCTATATTCTTTTCTAGGAATGGAGGCCGCACACAAAATCAAGCCATGGTCCTCGACCAGCAGAGTAAGTTTATGTTCCTAATATTATAAGCAGTTTTTCATTAAGTATGTTTAACAATTAGCATAAGGAATATATTCATAAATTGAGAAGAATTATAACATTTTATGATATAGTTTCAAAGTTAAGTTTATCATTCCTTTTTGTACAGTTAAATCAGGGTTTCATGTTCTAATAAAATGAAAAAATACCACAGTTTTGATAACAGAACACCACATTGTCCATTAGCATTGAATTATCCAAAGGTGGAAGATCCTTAGGATTATGGTTGAGGGACTAAGTGTTTTGGTATATGTATAGCATGGGTTCCTGAACATGGCATCTGCCAACACCTGTCCTGATGCTTGCCAGGTATTTTTAGACAATGGGTGGGGCCAGTTAGGGCTTGTGCCCAGCAGGGCTTCTGATTGGCCGTTGGAGATCCAATTGGCTTAGTGGTTGCCACAACAGCACAAGGATCTTCACTGTGTGACTGAACGCAAGCTGTATTTTTAAACAATAAATTCATTTTAAAAAGCATCCTATTAAACAGAGCTTCTGCCTGAAATGGTCAAGTGCAGTTACTTCTTGACATTTTGTAGTTGCTGCTGCCTCTTGAAGCAGCCACTTTGTGGTTGGGTCTACCTCCTATTGCAGCCATTTTGTTGTTGTGCCTACTACCCTGTGTCAGAATTCCAAAGCTGCCCACAGGCTCCAAAAGATGGGGCACCCTGATCTAGAGGGAGGGCTGGAAGCAGTCATGCCACCCTGCTATCGTGCCTGAATCCAATTCCAGCTGAGAATACTTCCCTGTGGAATATTGTATGTTTTCCTTTCTTTAGGTTTTGATCCTGTGAGCTTCATTAGAAACCAGTTTTTTCATTAAAAGCAGCGTAAATAAATTCCTGGGGACTGGGTGCTGTAACTGTGAAGGGAAGACTTGGGGGACATGGTAGCCTTTGGAATGATGAGTGGGAAGGTTTAGGAGAGCTAAGAGGGGACTGAATGCATTGTTGAAAGAGCTGTGTGCTGTATAATTCTAAATACTATTGAACAATAGAACATTGCTGAGCAGTGTCTTTCTTACACATTTTTCAGCACTTAAATTGTTAGTTTCTCAGTCTACTTCAGCGAGTTAAATTAAGCTCACATGCCTTTTGCTAAATCCTCAGTGTGCACAAATAATGTAGATGTCACTGGTGGAGCAAAACTTTTGTCATTTTCAGTAAGACTATTATCCCACTTCTAAAGGAATATATATTATTCCTTAGAAGTGGAATAATAATCTTACTGTTTTGCTCCACCAGTGACCTCTACAGCGAGCTGCCATTTCTCTGGGACACGTCCCGTCCCTCTTCCTTCCCTCCCTCCCCGTGTTATTCTCTTCTGGTATGCTGCTGTAACTGCCAAGTTTCTCCTGCAGGTGGACGACGGAGTGTTATGTCTTCTTGCCTTGCTTAATTAGATTTCCCGTGTGAACTCAACTTGTGTTTATGGTATTAGCTGTTGTGGTTCTCAGGCTACTTCGTGCCTTTTCTAATCAGCTCCCTTGCGAGGGAATTGTACCCATTGGGTTAACCAAGCTTGAAGTTCCTATATTACTTTGCCCCTGTGTATTGTAGTTATTCTGAACAATCTCTGTATGTTCATGAACAACCATGCTTTGGAAATAAATCTTACTTCTTTGGAACGTGGGTTTGTTATCCTGACTTGGGATCTGACAATTTGTTCAGAATCCATTTTCCCCCTCACCCCGAGTCTGACATCGATCATGAGCGGGGCCGAAGGGAAATCTTTTTTCCGGGCAGAGGACCGAGGCGCCGTCCCGGCCACTGCCTTGCCATCGGACTTCATGGAAGCCCGGGGTGCCGTTGGGGGAGCGATCCTGAGGCATGAGACTATTCCCTGGCCTCCTCCTACCCCATCGCAGTGGGGGAAACGAGAGGTCAAAGCCTCAGAGGATTGGACTATGTTTGATACCCAAGGCACCAGGGAAACGTTTGCTCATCGGGGCAGTGGGCCCCGCGAAAGCCTTTTTGAACCGGGATCTTATCCTGAAAGACCTCGGAGTTGCCCGGCAGTGAATTATCGAGTGGAAGATGATTTCTGGCCGGACGAGAGAGCGACCGGACGAGACGATCGGGAGGAGCAACCAGGCTGGGGGGCATCCCAGGATGGC